GTTGTTTCGTCATCCTCGGCCTTAGTCTACACAAGACTCAAAGTCTTTTACGTTACTCGATTCTAAAGAGCTGTGAATCATGGGGAGAGACATGGCTGCACAGGACTACTTAATACTAAAGTTCAGCCATTGTGTATTGACAGAGAAACTTTGTGAAATAAAAAAATTAGGCATATTTCCAGCGAATCCTACACTTTCAATTGAATTGTGAATCTTGATATTTTTATGATACCAGGAAGATCGTTTAAGTATTTCGATACGAACCCGCTTGTTGCGGTTGGTTTTTGGGGTAGGCCATTTTTGATTTATATTTTGCTGCTGTCACTGCCACTCACACGTTTACAGTCAGTACGCAACTAAGTTAAATTAAAGTTTTGAACGTTACCAAAAAGGGTACAGAGGATCAGTTGGCGAGCATACGTGTGCTTTAGATAAATTCTTATCAGACCTGTACATTTAAATTTATGGAACGGGGCACAAGTAAAACGATTGCAACATGACTTTTCACACACGTGGGATGTGGGAATAGGTAGAAAGGTATAAGATAGAGGGAGGATTAGGAAGGGTGCGGAGGGCTGCACGGTAGGCGCGGAGCCTGTACTATATAGGTCTTCTGTGCGCCAAAGACTTTCGTAACTTGGCGCCAGTCGCTTCTGCTTTTACTAACAGACGCTGACCCAGTGACTTATATATGTTCTGTGGGACCTTGTAAGTCACATGGGAGGACGTGTTCGGTGTCCAAACGATGCTTTTAATTTCGCCTTTTCTCGACTAAGGCAGGAGGTCCTCCCGTAGTCTTTTGCATAAGCCTCCACTAGTGCGATCAATATAATTGTCTTCACAGGGCCAAGTAAAGAAGCAGACGGACGTGGAGGTCGTCAGAGCTGGCAATATATCCTTACATTCTCCATGTAAAACAGGCTTGGCCGAGAATAACACACGATCTCATGCCTCTGTGAAGGTTAACGAAACACTCTGGTCAAAGCGTTTTCTCATGAGTTCATTCGCTGGGCCCTCCCGAAAAAGGACTTCAACGAACAGTTGTTTCTTCTCCGCCGCAATTGTGATTAGATTTTGCGGGTTTTTCTTTAATATTTCCAATAAACTTGTCGGGATACCCGTTCTCGCGAGAATAGGTTTATGCTGTCTTATTTAACTTTCCGAAAACCGGTGGTGCGGAAGGAAAAATTCCCTGTCACTTCCTCTGTCGCCATTCATCGCGCCACTATGACTACCGTTGTCATCACCGCAGTTTGTTGAGACGAATAGTTCCGCATGATGGAGACGGATTTATGTCCAAATTGAGTTATCTAGAAAGATTTGCATAGCGTCGTTTCCGCTTCACTTCTCCAATTGTTTCAGTGGCCGGGCGGAGTTAGACCACTGTAAATGAGATTGTGTCTGGTGGCTGACCGGGCACCTACCTGCCTGCTGATCTCACTCTTTAAGAGCCAGTCCTCACTATCATCTGCCCCACTAGGTCCGTTCCCTTAAGACCTCTCATTTTGGGCTGAGCTACCACCACAAACTGTTGTCCTCATCCAGCCATTATTGGTGTCACGATAGTAACCACACAAACTTGTCTGACTACCCGCTTTCTCATGCGCCAGTGTTTTCCGACCATCTAGAACTGTCTAATTTCATGATTGCATAAATGGCTGGCTTCGAAAAGGTGGTGATCACTCCAGTGGAGAAAAATTATGTGCACCGTTAGCTAAACTCGGGCATCGCGTCCATGAGCTCATTCTTATTTGAATCGGCCTTTGAAATTTTGCTCGTTGCCGCCAGGCAAATTTCACCTCAATGACAACGACGATGAAGCACAGTCTAGGTTACCCAGGCCTTGTTGCGACTGCAGTTTCAATTTCGACTGCACTGTCTAAAATTCTCTTCTTCGAATCACCAGCTGGCGTCAGAGATTTCGTGTGGTGAGTATGGAGTTCGGGAGGTGTCTGACACATTGGCCACGAAAGTACCATCTGGAAATCATTTCAGCTGTTCTTATGTGCACGGGCCACTACTGTGGTCGTGCCTGAACAGGTCGACCCCGATGATTTCGCAGACTACCTTTTCACGCGTGACGATCTGCGACAGGGAATTCGAAGAGCCTGACCCACCTCCATGTCGTGGCGGGCCGTTTTCGAAGCTAACCTTTTCTACG